AAGGGACAAAAGAAACAATTAAAAAAAAAGGAACAAAAAAGTAGCGCCGTTGGAATTGAATTGCATAAGATCGAAAAGGCCTCCAATTTTAAATACAAAACAAATGGCATTTAATATTACATGTAATTCTATGAACTCCCAAAAGCTCCAACCCCAACGGTCATTTTCCCTAAAAAGCCTAAAATAAAACAAATGGCACTTTCCTTTTAAATTAATAGAACACCGCCGGCTACCACCGCCATACATGCCCGCACCACCGCCCCCCACATCCCACACTTCGCCGCCGCCGTCGATTTCTCCGTCAACATTTTCTCCTCCAACGAGTAACTGCAGGCTTCGTAACCTATACAAATTTTAAAATAATTATTGAAATTTAGTTTGCACTTTAAAGAAAATACGTTAGTTAAGTTAGTTGCACGTACTTTAGTTTTAAACTTCAATTCATAACAATTTAATYCCCATAGTTTAAATTTTATTTTTTTCATTTTAAAAATTAAGCTCGTATACATATTTTGATCATTCATTAGTTTATCAATCTACATATATAAGAATTTTAAAATGACTAATCGTTACARACTATAAACTACAAAGAAAACCATCATGGGATGGTCTATGGGTCAATAAGGACCAATGTAAGTAAMAAATGATGTAGAGGGAATGGATTCAAACTATGGTGGTCATCTCTAAGATTTAGTATCCTCTAATTAACTGGTGATTAGTCGAGRTGTGCACAAACTAACTCAAACACACGGATATCAAAAAAACTTATAAACTACAAAGAACTAAATTGTTACCRATTTAAAATTAGGAAACTAATGACATATTAGATAGGTGATTTTAGTACGATTAGAATCACTTTTACTCACACCAAAATCAAGCAAGGAAAGGTTTCATAAGTAATTTTGAAAAAATTCAAAATCACTCTAAGAGATTTTCGATCAATCACTTGAGGGTGATTGTTCTCTACAAATTYTGTGATCTCTCAACATTTTTAGTTCTCTATTTCTTCTCTAAATTTATTTCTCTCTAAAATTTCTCTCATCCTTTAAATCATCTCTTTAAAATTCTCTATTTAAACTTTAAATATTAATCATCAAAATTATTTTTAATTACATTAAAATCATTAGAAAAAACGTGCCGGTGGTATAAAAATTATTTTTACAAAATCAATTATAATTAAATTTCCTAAAATCACTAAATTATTGCTCCAATAAAATTACAAAATAAAAATATTTTGGTGGGAGAAAAGAGGAATCTTACTGGGGTCGGTGGAGGTGAGTAGGCCGGTGTGGCTGAAATCGCAGTCGAAATCATGGCGGCCGGAGGCCTGAAAGTAAGCGTTCATGGCGTACGATGCATGTGACCGCACTGTATTCGGATCGAAGCAGGCCCCACCCGCTTGTATGGGCCCACAGTCCACTCCGCTGCTGCACACGTAGTCAATATTCTTCTGCAACGCTTCATCTGAGGCGTCCGTTCTCGGCACGCACCACTGCCTCCCCCCATCCGACGGTGCCACCGGCGCCGTGGGCCCCATCGCCTGTTACAACAAAATCMACGGTTACGATTTACCACGTTCAGAAAAAAGAACTTTGACTTTATTGCCCTGGAAATAGAGGCCAATTCTGTCAGATTACAAAAAAAATAGGACGCGTGTCCTTTTGATTCCTTAGACAGCTGGGTTGCACTACGCGGTAGATGTAAGAGATCGGTTTTATTTACCTATTCTCAGAGATATATGACTATGTTTACGTGTCCAAGTGTTATTCGTTTAGAAAACAACAAATCAACAGGTGAAAACAGGAACCAATTAGCAATCAACACGTGTACCAAGCTCATGGGGTAGAGGTAATTACGTATACAACTACTACTCTTCCCTTCCACTACTCCGCAGACTGATGGCGTGCTCGGCAACCGCATGAATTGACTAAAATGCCCCTCCTGCCCTACTCGGAGCTAAATCTAGAAAGAAGAAGCGGTTTACCGGTTGCTTTCGCAGGATTCCGACGTCGTAGACCGGAGTTAGATCCGGTTTGAATAGACCGTAGTTCCGCTCCGAGGTCGACGGTTTCAGATTCTCGTTGAAAAGAGAGAAGACGTAAGTCTCGAAGGTCCGGTTGGGCATCAATGGCGTCCCCTTCCCGGAGTTGACGTGCTTCACGAGGTTCCGGTTGTAGGAAATGGCGTTTTCCAGGCCGACGCCGGGTTGGTTCG